CAATGTATGCCAACCTGTATGCCAGATTGTTCACCACAATGTATGGTGCAACAACAGCAACCGCTGGTCATTGTTCCAAACAGCCAGCAACAACAAGTAAGTTTGTCCAGAACACCACCGCGTTCGACTACCAGTCCAAAACTTTTTGCTCTAAAACAGTTATTTATAATACTCCCAGCGGTAACTTAATAATACACTAGAGGCATTCTTGGGGTTATCACTCAAGCGAAAAACAAGAGTATTTCCGAATATTTTCAGTGCGCACCAATGTGTATGCCACAATGCCTTCCTCAATGTACCTCGCAACAACAGCAGCAGATAGTTATCGTTCAACCAGATCCTCAACTACAGTCTCAGCCAGTACCCAGATGCGCTCCCGTCTGTATGCCAGAGTGTACACAACAGTGTCTCCAGCAAGCTTGTGCTCAAGCCTGCCAACCTCTGTGTAACACCGCATGTGCTCAACAACAGCCAGTAATTATTGTGGCACAACCGCAACCAGAATGTGCACCTCAGTGCATGCCAGCGTGTCAACCAGAATGTATCCAACAAGCTTGTGCACCAGCATGCCAACCAACATGTGATCCTCAGTGTGTCCAGCAGCAACAGAATCAAATTGTGGTCGTCTCGCAACCACCTCAACCTCAATGTGCTCCACAATGTATGCCTGACTGTACACCTCAATGTGTCCAACAGTCCTGTAGTACAGCATGTCAGCCAATGTGTACCGCGCAGTGTACACAGCAACAACAACAGCAAATCCTTGTTGTGCCACAGCCTCAGCCTCAAGCACAGTTATGTGCAGCGCAGTGTATGCCAACATGTAGTCCGCAGTGTATTCAAGCTGCCTGTCAGTCTGCATGTCAGCCAATGTGTGAACCTCAGTGCGTTCAGCAACAACAGCCACAGATTGTTGTTGTCACTCAACAGCCGCCAATCCAAGTGCCGGTACAACAACCGCAGCAAGAACAATGTGCTCCGATATGTATGCCACAGTGTACCCCTCAGTGTGTCCAACAGCAGCAACTTTGCGTTACTGCTTGTCAACCAAGTTGTCAAAGTTCGTGTAATAACAACGCTCAATGTATTCAGTCTTGCCAACCTAGCTGTGAACAGTCTTGTGTACAACAAGCTCAACAGCCAGTTGTAGTTGTTCAACAACCAACTCAAGCCCAACCGCAACAGCAACAATGCCCAGAAATCTGTCAGCCAGCATGCAGTCCACAGTGTATGAATCAGTTGACCATCTGTATTGCTGCGTGTCAACCAAGCTGCCAGAGTTCATGCAATTCGAACACTCAGTGTTCACAAGCTTGTCAACCGAACTGCGAACAATCATGTTTGCAACAATCACAACCTGTAATAGTCGTTCAGCAACAACCATCACAACAGCAGTGTATGCCAGCATGTCAACCGGACTGTAATCCTCAATGTATTCAACAGCAGGAAGTTTGTGTTCAGGCATGCCAACCAAGTTGTCAAAGTTCCTGCAATTCAAATCTTCAGTGTTTCCAAGGATGTCAGGCGAGCTGCGAGCAGTCATGTGCTCATCAGGCGAATCCTCCAGTTGTTGTTCAACAACCCACGAATGTCATTAACAGTTGTGGTCTAACCTGTCAGGTAAAACCTTTTAACATAGTTCAGTTTTTATGACTTTATGTTGAACGTATATTTTGGGTAGAGTTTAGTTCAAAAAAACGGCTGTGCTAACGGTTAAAATATGTAAAAAAGAACTTTTTAGCCAACTTCACCGGTACAGTGTGTTCCACAGTGTCAGCCGACGTGTCAGTCATCATGTATGCAGCAACAGGGCTACGGAAATTACATACAGCCGGCTGCGATAACATTATGCACCCAACTAGGTGGTTCGGGCGGAATTGGTAACTGTGCATGTTCTTCCGGATACACGCAATGTATGCAGGGTGTATGTTGCTTACGTAAGAGACATCGTGTTAAGAAAAGCTAAGTAATGTTACATTTTACAATATACTTAATTTAGTTGCTCAAAAATATGTGTTGTGAATACGCTTTTTTTCGTTTTTTCCCCACAGATTATTTTTGTCTTCCACTCTTTCCACATGAAACACCAAAATAGGGTAACTATTCCAACAATATCTCTTAGATCTTTTTTTTACATGTTAGTCATTTGTCTTTGTAATCACATTATGTTCAAATTCCTTCAATGGAGTTTGAAAGAAAGGTTTCCAACTGTTTGGACTTTTTACTGAGCTCAGGAAGCAGATAAATTAGACAGTTTTACTGATTACCTGGAAGACTCTGTTTTTGTTCAGTGAACGATTATATGTATTTTTTATTTATTTTGTACACTGTGATATTTTTGTTAGTTCTCCAAAGCAGAAAAATCTTACTGATTGTGTTGAGCAGAGTAGAGTATTGTTGTCTCTGCTAATCACTGAAGCTTCCAGAGGCTTCTTTTGTAGTGTTGCTTCTCACATATTCATTAAGAAGTTGAAAACAACACACAAGAACTAACTCTTTTATCAATTCTTTTCATTTTTTTCTCCTCCATCGAATTGCTATCTTTATCAGTGTAAAGTTGAGCCAGATTTCTATTAATTACTTGTTTGTATTGTTAAAATCGTAAACAAAACATTGTTCCCGGTAACTTAATTGAATAACTCTAGTTTGTGCTGGTGATAAAATAGATCTGCTTTTCTTGCAGCCTAAATTACAAGTTTTGCAGGTTCTATAGACGTTAGTCGTGAGGTATTTTAAGGTGTGTTGTCAG